ATATATCATTATCGCTATACTACTAATCAAAAGTTTATCACTGCCGAAACAAAAACTTATCGAATCGGTCAAACAATTATTCGGTCACTTTTTTACAGATGTCCCAAAAATAATGAAAACAGCTGTAATAGTAAATGGATAGTAAATAGATATCCGAATAAATTCAGATCCTGATATCTGGTAATTATCCAGATAAATGCTAACTGGATCAGAACTCTAATTGTTTATTATAGGCTTGATATGTAAAAAATGTAAAAAGTAATTCTTGGGCGTCCTTTATCAATGGATAAAAAAAGATGGATTGTATCTCAGTGAAATAGTAACGTTTAAAAATTTTACCTCCGATCCATTGAGTGGTGCTTGAGAACACCCTTAGTCTAATATAAAATCCGGGTTTGAAAGGTTTTTTTTTTTAAAAAAAAAACAATTAATACGTATACAGTATATACAAATGCATATTTTGATTGAAGTTCAGTAAAGTCTTGTGAAATTTCTAAATAGATTAATATGTATAATGTCAATAATAATTTTTTACAAAAAACTGCAAACTTCAAATTGTATCTCAATATTCTACATATTAACCTATTTAGAAATTTTACATGAAAGCATAATCAATACCATATTTTAACGAAATGAAGAGCTTTTTTTCATAAACTGAAAAATAATCGAAATTATACTATTTCCACAGTATTTTTATTATTATCGTGAATGTAATAATTCATTACTTTTCAATGTATGAAAAAAAGCTTTTCATTTTATCGAAATATGCTATCAATTATGCTTCCATGCGAAATTTTTAAATATATATATAGTTTAATATATATCGATCGATATGTAAAATATTATTATCCCTTAAACCGTCCAGTGGCCAAATTTGGATGCTAAACCGATTTTTAATCCGTTTTTTTATAATTACACAAAAATTTACTAAGATGCCCCCTCCCCTTTCTAAACCAGAAAGCAAGCATGAGATATTGCCAATCATGCATAACTTTGTGGCTTGTTAAGGTTGTGTACATTTATTGAAGCTAATCGATTGAAGTCTTGAATATAGATCAGCCCGACAATGCAAAAAAAAATAAAAAATGCAAAGAACATAAAAACGGTAGCCAAAACCTGTTTTAGAGCATTAATAAAAAAACTCCGAGGATGTTATTTTACAAACATACTATTTATACTTATCCTTAAACCAGTTTTGACCCTGAGGTTCTTGATCATGCAGTACATGAATTTAACGTTTCGCGATACCCTTACATAAAATAAATTTCAAATTAATTGGCATTAGTTGTGCGAAAATTAAAATAAGCATCAAAGCATAAACTTGTAGTTACCTGTTCTTTAAGTTTTATCCGGATTAGATTGAACACAAAGTTGAAATTTATCATGTATTGTACTTTTCTGGCCATGAATAATTAACATAAAGAGCGAAGAGAATTCTCACAAGTCGCCTTACCATTGAAATTTAAGATATCCTTTAAATATTATCATTATGAATCTTAAGCAACTGGGCAATCTCCTTAAATATTATGAATCTTAAGCAACTGGGCAATCCATTGAAATTAATAATTTTTTTTAAAAAGAATAAAAAAAAACTATCAAAAAATATTCTTTTTGAAAAATTTTTATTAAAAAAAAAAAAATTTATTAAAAAATTTTGAAAAAAACCCATATCAATAAAAATATGTCCTCTCCATCGGCTTCAAGTTCTTTTTTTGAAATTCCAGAAGCATATGCTGATGATAAGGAATATGTTCCACTTTTAACAGTTCATCAGCATTTTCTGGATAATACAGAATCTGATGAAGAGAAGAATAAGAAAATAACAAAAGATACTGGAAATATCTCTAAAAAAAAATCGAAATCAAAGAGAATAGCACAACCAAAATTGCCACCACCACCCACCAACTTTGATCCATTTGTTTATCTAAAACCATTGCACCAGGTATCAGTTTGTCTGCCGCACCATCTTAATAGCAGTGTATTTAAATTGATTGATTTTTTTTTCTTTTTTTCACGACTTCCATTTTGAACACAATTGTCACCAATACCAATCTCTATGTGTCAATGAATAGTGTTGGCCTTACTGGTAGAAAATAGATTAATTTAAGTCATAAAGAACTCATAATCTGGATTGCTTTGGTCATTTATCAAGGACTTTACAAATCACCCTCTCTTGATCAATATTGGAACGAGAATAAAATGCATCCAATTCACCATATTTCAAACCAAATGTCTTTGAAGTGCTTTGAAATAATTAAAAGGTTCTTACATATTTCCTCTTCTGCTACAATAATTAACAATTATTTTGAAAAATTAGAGCCTTTGCTCTCACATATCTGTGACGTCTCGAAGCAACTTTACATACCAAATTCGAACGTTTTAGTTGATGAAATGATAATTAGATTTTCTGGCAAAAGTGTTCATACGGTTAGAATTAAAAACAAACCAACACTAGAAAGCTTCAAAATTTTGTCTCTTTGTGAATCTGGGTATATTTACACCTTCCTACCAACGTCTCATGTATTCCCTAGCAATATATCAAAAGTAAACGGTCTTAATCAAACTGGATGTCTTGTCTACCACCTTGTTGAACAATTTCCATATTATAGACTTTCTTACAATATATTTATGGATAATTATTTTACTAGTATTTCCCTTTTTCAATGTTTTAGAAACATGGGCATTGGTGCCTGTGGAATATTTGAAAAACTTTCTCTGGTTTTCTGAAAGAACTGAAGGTAGATAAAGGTATTAAACTCGATTGGGATGTTTGTTCTTGTGTTGTAATAAATGACACATTAGCTGTTTTCTGACAAGATAATAGGCCAGTTACTATGTTGTCAACTATACATGGTCTAGTTGGTGAAGAATGGGAGGTAGAACATGAAAGACAGCATCCAAGAGAAATGAGCACAAATGTAGCAAAAGTGTGTATGGTGTTTGGCTCTAATTCAAAAAAAAATTAAAAATTCCAAAAATAGTTGATAATTACAACAACTACATAAATGGTATAGATGTTGCAGACCAACTAAGAGTATACTACAATACACAGCAAGTGACAAGATGAAATTGGATGCTGCTCTTTTTCTGGTTGTTAGATACTGCGATTATCAATTCATATTGAATCACCCAAACTTTAAGATCAAGCACCAGGAAACTACTTGGCTAAGTGGAGAAAACTATGTGAAGCATACCACTAGTGCACATGGTTGGCAAGCAAACAAAAAATAACTATGGATCGTAAAATACCACATAGAAGTAATTTGTAGTATAAAGAATATGATGTACCTCTTTGTTGCAATAATATTCGAAATTGTTTTTTACAATTTCATATCAACAAATAATAGATGGCTTTTTTTTTCTTTTTCTTTTTTCTTTTTTTATTATTATAAACATGGTGTTTTATTTTTAACATGGGTTTTTATATAATAAAGTATAATTATTATCTTTATGTAAGTTTTTTCAAGTGACTTGTTTATGTGATTCACATGATGAGGTTATTGAAATATATTCAAGCATAGTAATAACTTAACAAAGAGATTGGGCTGGATTATATAAGTTTTTAAAGTTATTCCTAAAGTGTGTGATGTTAAATTAAATGAGAATTTAGTATGTATGATAATACGAATATAAACCAGAGCAAATATATCAAATTTGCAAAAAAAAAATAATAATAATAATTTTATGTATGATCTTTACTGGCAAGCAGTGATATTATTTTATTTAGCATTAATGCTAATATATAATTATATAAAACTTTCTCATACTAGCCTAATATTTGTTCAAACAAAATATCTGTCTTGTATAGCAAACATGCGCAAATTTTATCTGACACAAAAAATACCAGTTTTAACTTTTGCCCAAAATATAACAAATGCAATATTTGCCTGGTGCAAATAAGCACATGCTTAATATTGTTCGATTTTACTAATGCCCTCCAAGCTTTACACAATAGTGTACTACAAAATATACTAATTTAGTTAGGGTCTAATTTGCCATAGCGACCCAAAATTTCAAGTTATTTAAAAAATTTTGCTGCGATTTGAATGAAGATCATAAGTTTGAGCTATATGAGTTATATTACACTGCAGAATGTCATATGTCACGCTACAATTTGGAAATACATTATGTGATTTAAGGCTCTGAATATCAATCCTGCCGATTTAAACAAAATCTTTTATAAAAGAAAAATAAAAGGTATATAATTTTCTTTCAATCATTTTTAGCATTTAAATTTGTCTGCCAAAGTGGACAGTTTAAGGGATACATAAATTTTTACTAATTGATCTTCATATATTTGATTTACATAGTACATTTAACACAGTGTACAAATACGTAGAAATTCTCATTTAAAAAATACTTACTATATACTGTATATACTTTACAGAATATATATTTATTTATTTTGTATAATAAATCAAAAAGGTTTTTGTTCAAAATAATTAATTTTGATTTAAATTTACAAATATTATGAAGAAGACTTAGGTGATACATTCACAATATGTTTTCTAAATTCATAATTAGATGTGCATGATAGTTAAAACAAATATTACAAGATTTTTTTATGATTATATACAGAATGTGATTTATTTGTCTAATTTAAAGAATATGATTAATTATGATGCAGAATATAAATTTATTTAATTATAATCATAATGCTATGATTTTTTCATGATTTTTTTTTTTTTATAAAAAATAAACAAGTGGATCAATTTTGATAAATTTCCTTATTTATCTGACGAAAACACAGCAGAATCATCAATATGTTGTATACCACCACGCTTAAAATCTTTTTGACAATTGGATTCTACAAGGCAATGAAGTTTAATAACATGATACTAAACAATACATAGAATTAAATTAATATAGGATCAAAATTAGTATTGTAATGATAACAAATAAAATTAAATTACCTTTAGATTAAGTATAATTTTTATAATATTAGAAAGGTTAATTAGTTGTAATGGAGTATCTGGAATTAAAAACCTTTCAAACTGGTCACATAAGTAGATACTATCTACTCAATGCATCGAATACAGGAACACTTCCTTTTCTGTATATTTTAAATGAATTTAAAATTTATTAGTATTTTATGAAGCTTATAGGTTAATTAGTATTTCATTGAGTTAACGAACTAATTAACTACATACTGTAAATAATGACTTCTAAGGTTTTGAGCTTTTCTAACTCAGGAGAGTCTTCAGACAATAATTTCCTTAAATTATATAATAAAATATGCATAGCTATAATTAACAATTATTTCTTATTAATTATTGTTAACATATTCAATAACAGATAATAAATCAAAATTTATTAAAATAATATATTTTACCTTTGAATAACTTTTCTCTATTGTTCTAAAATTTTTTATCATCATGCTTGAATGCATTATCAATTACTTCTAAAAATACAACTTGCATATTTTTACTGTCAATTTTTATAGTAATTATTCCATCATAGTACTAGCTGCCTGAACAACTCTTCCTTCTATTTAAGTTTCTACTTAATTCTAATTGTGTTCTTTGATTCTGATTTTCTATCTCACCACTGATTGAGATCAAAAAAAAATAGTTAATATGTAAAAAATATATATATATAAGGTAAAAGGAGGTATTATAACGCAGTATTAATTATGACACACACGTGATATCTTGTGATCTAGTGATCAGAATCGGATGATTTTACCACCATTCGATTCGTCTCGATGATGCGAATCGAATGGTAGTAAAACATCCGATTCTGATCGCTAGATCACGAGATATTAATATTTAAATAAAATAAATAAAATTTTAAATTTTAAATTTTAA